TTATGCGTACCTAAATAGTATGATAATTAAATGAATAAAGCTTAGCAACAGATTTTTATTCCTAGAAAGGGTAAACAAAGGAGTACTTACAATATGGCGATTAACTTGTTATTAACTTCTGTCGATAACCCTTTTGTGTAGAGCAAACCTGGTGATCAATGCTTATGTAATATCTATAGGAACAATCCCCTAAGTTTTTACAAAATTACATCGAAGTGTCTACGCTACACGAGTTTTAATATTCTTCGATCGAGCAGCTTTTTGCACTTTTTTGATTGAATTGTAAATTGGAATTGCCTATTCTTGTCCCTTTTAACACTTTTTTAAAATGTATTTTTTAATTTATTTAACAAGTTTCATTAAAATCGGTTCAGTAGTTTCCATTATTTTTTACATGAAAACCAGCATCACGTCAACGCTATTAAAGTCAAGAAAACCTATATTTACAAAGGTAACACGTGTTTTGTATTGAATAACAATATTGTTATGGAACCGGCTGATGAAAGCAAAAGTCACTCAACTACATTTCTTAATACAGAGACTCGCTAGGGACGGGCACGTACGATATCGATATTTTTTGCTTAAAAAGCGAACTTAAATTATCAGGTAAGGAGAACGAAATCCCAACTAGTAGAGTGTATGTGGAATAAAAAGAGGAACAGGAGGAGGATTAAAAGATTAAGATCAGTGTCCGATATAGAAAAATAAGACTGCACAGTGTGGGAGAGTCATGCTTCGGCACGAATGGGTCGGCTCGACCGGAGTGATACCACGGCCTCACAGAAAACCGGCGTGAAATAACCACTGCGTTGTGTTTCGACGTGTGAGTGAGGTTACCGGAAGCCCAATCCTTCCCCTCCCCCTATCCCTCCTCAATCCCTAAATCTCCAAATCCCTAATCCCTAAAAGGTCGGCAACGCACTCGTAACTCCTCCGTTGCGAATGTCCATGGGCGGCGCTGGTTGCTTACCATCAGGTAATCCGTCTGCTCGTTTGCCGACCTATTACATAAAAAAAACACAGACTTTATTCCAACTTCTACATGAGACACAGATTTTGTGTCATTCCAACTTCAGGATAGACAATATGTGAATTACAATTAGTAACAACATAGACTAGATATATGTAAATCAGTACGAACGAGGACTAATGATAAACATACTATATCTGTGGATTATTATTTTACACGTTTACTGAAACTAATTACATATATATCTAAATCTATTCACATATCAATTAAACGCATTAGATTAGTCTCTCATTAGCAATTATTACGATGTAATTAAAGTTATAACCTTTATATAATTTTATTTATTTAAGAGACTTTAATTTATTGCTGTTTTGATGGTAAATCAAATCTCCTCAAAGAGCCAATAGACCACCACAGACGGGGCCCAATAGGGCTGATGTTCAGCCGAGGTTGCGGGTAAGCGCAGTGAGGCACCGCGACCTCGGCCCAGAGCAGGAGAAGGAACAGGGGGGTTTTTAGTCAGTAAGAGTCTGACACTCCCTCCCGCCCGACCCTGGGCAGGAGAATCATTTGATGATTTTCCCCTCACAAAAAAAAGTCGAATACATATCGTTGAAAACTCGCATGAACACAATAATATTTAGTGTTAAAAGTAATCAAATTATAGTTATTGAAAATATTTTCATTGTTTAGAAATACATGCTACGTCTACATTTTGCTACAAATGCTTGTAAAAGAAGCTAAATATAAAACGTTGAATAGATTCTTTCGAAAATACCTATTACTTTTTTTATATTAAACACACACGGATTCCTCTGCCTCGTGGATGCGTTTACAAACATACAATTTCACATAACCTTGAAACCCAGATCCGAAACAATAATTTGTGGATCCCACAAAGTGTTGTTCCGTGGGGGAATCGAACCCGCGACACGTCGCACGGCAGTCAGTTGCCCAGCTGCCGCGCCAACCGTGCAGTCAATATATGTAGTTTGTAGTTATATCCGATATATTACTACTGAGATTTGAGAAATACTGTAGTATCAGATGTCAGGAGTTGTATGAAGTCAAAAATTATATTGATATTGCAGTGTTACAAACTGAAAATATTTAGTCCACTCCTGTGGTCATTCAGGACCTGGTGGGTAATACAAATAGGTACTTAGCAGATAAAACAAAATAAACACAATTAAAAAAACATATAAAACATTTTCCTTGGCACTGTTATATATACATATTTTGATTAGGTACATTTATCTAATGAGGTTAGCGAGTACGCAAAACAATTATCAAATAATACCCACATTGATAACGATAGCTTAATCTACAAATGCTCAGGATATCTATATCCTTTTCGCGATCTCCCTCTATCTGAACACAATCTGTAAGGTCTAGAATTAAATGCCATGTAACAGCAAAACACAAGTATTATTTCTAGAAAATTAGGAGCGAGATTATTAAAATATCGATGGATAGATAATCTAGCATTGTACATCACTAGTAATAGGGACGTATTGTAACGATTAAGAAATCACAACTCAAAAACACCAACAGCAATCGTAATCGTCTGTCAACAAATCCTCTAAATGCTCAAAAAATCTTCTTGGAACAGTATGTTCTCTCGCCCAGGCTATGGGGAGAGGAAATGCAGGCCGTTGCTGACTTAAACCCCCCGGCCGAGGCCGACGTTGCGGAACCTCATTACGCATAATCCAGGTCCCCCAAAAATACGTTTATTAAAATTTTCCTAGCATAAGTAGGTATCACAATCATTAATATCTAATCTTGGGGATAAATCAAATTAATGTCCAACAAAATTCAATTTATACTCTACACTTTCCTACACGTGTAATTAATATGATAAATTGATAAGGTAAAATAAAAATTTATTAATACAAATGAACGTAATTAAACTTATACACCAAACTAAGTAATCGATTACAACTACACGAGATTCAAATTTAGAACTTGCAATTATTGAGTTTTTAGCCATATTTGCAGTTCAAAGAAAGATTTTTTTATGTAATAGATCGGCAAACGAGCAGACGCATTACCTGATGGTAAGTAAACAGCGCCGACCATGGACACCCCGCAACGTAGGAGTTACGAGTGCGTTGCCGACATTTTAGGGATTAGGGATTTGGAGATTTAGGGATTAAGGAGGGATTGGGGGTGGGGAAGGATGGGGCTTCCGGTAACCTCACTCACACGGCGAAATACAACGCTGTGGTTGTTTCACGCCGGTTTTCTGTGAGGCCGTGGTATCACTCCGGTCGAGCCGACCCATTCGTGCCGAAGCATGGCTCTTCCACACTTAACCACTTAAGTTATCGATATATTTAATTATGTAGGATGATACATCACTATAAGAATAAAATAAGGGTACCGACCGCGGTCCTTTGTTTGGTCTATGGACCGCGCAAGCCAGTCACACTCATACTAACAATGGAAGGAGAATTACATAAGAAATATAATAACATGTATGAATGCATGACAAGGGATTTCTATTTTGATATTATGTTTAAGTATTGTAAGACGTATTCATCTATTGTTTTAAGTAACGTGTGGTTTCTGAGTAGTACCGATCTGTATAATATCATAATATGTAATAGTTTGGTATCTAGCTTATTATCATTTATTACCTTTACCTTTTAACTGTCTCCCTAGTTATTGTTCCAGTGTTATGAATAAAGTGGAATAAAATAGCTACATATTAATCATTATACCTACATAACAATACCAAAAAACACTAAACAAACAAAAATTCCTTCGGCACCACAAAAAAAATGTCTCATATGTCATCGATAAAATTTCGCAAATAATTCCCAACCCTACAGAAGCGTATCGAAAGCAAAGTCATTGTGGTGCGCACACGCAAGTCGCAGGTCACTTTCATGACACAGTGCCTTACGCAACATAACTACTATGTGGGGCATGGGAGATTCCACTTAGATACGGACGATTTAGCAGATTTTATGGCATACATATGGTGAATATCATCGTCGCAAAATGTTGTAAAATTTCAACATTTTTTTCTCAGAACATATGAAATACTCGGCCGTAAAGAAAATTAATTGAATCGATAAGGATTATATAGTATTTATTTCAATTTTATGGAACGCTAATAATTACCTAATTTGATTTAGTTTCGTAAGTAGTTTTAGTAGTTTATTATGTCATAAATGTTATTTATAGCTGAGCAATTTAGAGTTGCGAATAAACTCACCTACATTTCAAAATAATCTATTTTTAGATAATCTATAACCTAAACATAATTTCGACAAAACGGTTGGCGCATTTAATAATACACTTGGCGTTAAGCATTACTTGTAAATTAATATTTGGATGAGTACAGATATTCAAGGTCTCTTTTAAGTGTTTGGTTTTAATTATTGAGGTACAGAACCGCGATGCGAGGAAAAATCATTGAAAACATCTTGGGGAATCCTAGATTTATAGCAAGCGTGATTCATGCTCAAATATGCTTTGCAATGCTTCTCCATAAGCGTCCACTGCCGAACCAAGGCATAGTCTTTAGTCTTTGCTCAGCAGTGGACGCTTATAGGAAAAACCATTTATTTTATTTTCATATAGGTAGTTGATGATGATAAAAAATTTGGCTTATTACCGCTCAAAAACTCGTAGTCTTATTATATAAAATTTTCGTGTCACAATGTAAGTTACCTTATGCCTCTGAAACGGGTTGACTGATTTTTACCAAATTTTATATGCATATTCAGTCAGTCTGAGATTCGGCCACTGGCTATTTTACAAACGCCTAAGTGATGAGGGTTATTAACCCTTAATATTTTCTTCGAAATAATGTATAAAGCAAAACAAAGTTTGCCAGATCAACTAGTTGTAGTATAAATATTCATATTGCAAGTTCCAAACCATCAAACAAGTATGCATACGTTTTGTAAGTAAATATGCACACTTGCACAGCTACAATGATTATGAATGCACCGGAAATTACGTATAAGTAGTTTCCGTAACCGAGCCGCCGCCTTTAATAACATCGTGTACTCACATTAATTTACTGGGTTTGCTCAATTTCTGAAACAAAGAAAAAAGTTTAATTAGTTGATTTTTCCATTGTGTAATCAAGGTTTGGTGTCTTAAATAACTATTACTATTGTAAGTATGAGTATTATTTACTAATCTAAGACAAATAGAAACTACGAAAAAAATTAAACCGCCTCGTTATTATTCATATCCAACATTCCAACCGATACGGGTGCAGCCGGGGTTGCGGGGCAAGCGTAGTAAGGCATCACGGCCTCACCCCAGAGCAGGAGAAGAACCAGGGGGGTTTTTAGTCAGTAAGAGTCTGACACTCCCTTTCGCCCCACCTGGGGTGGGTGAAGGTATAAAGTCAAAAGTCAAAAAATCATTTATTCCAATTAGACCTTTACAGGCACTTTTGAACGTCAAACAAAATATAAAATAAAAAAATAGTGTCAGTCTGTCGGTCAGTCCTCTTAGTGAAGCTATTTGCTCGTTCCAAAGTGTAGATTCCGATGGAGAAGAACGAGCAAGAAACTCCATGGTTACTCTTTTTAAATCAGTTTCACATACAGATTCCTTTTACAAACAGTTGGTTCAATTATGTGAGAACAGTGTAACACTAATATTTATTCAAATATAAAAATAAAGTAACCTTAAGGACAATAGACAGTCTGGAGCTGACCAGTCCCAACTGACGGCGCTCGTTCACGAGCATGACACGTACACCTGCATCGCCCAACTCAACCATATTATAGGGAATTAAGCGATCCAGTGCCCATGCCACCGCCAGTGTGACCTTTCAGTGAGCATGACAACTCCAAGCTGTTATAAGGACCGACATTCTGCTAGTCTAACCAATTATAATAGGTTACAGGGCACTCACATTTACAAATTTATCAAGTTATAGTTATACAATATAATGCAATTTCACTAAAATGAAGAAGTCCCGTTCAAGCAAAATCCATTGGAACGTTATTTATTTTGGTGTACGTTTGCTATCCTGTGGAGCAGGACCAGCATGTCTCCAAGCATCTTTATCTACAATGTAATCATTCAGTGTGTAGTATGCTTTTCTACATAAAGTTTTCTTTACACATAATTTAAAATTTCTTTCATTTAATTGTTGTATTTCGCCTGGGATTTTGTTATAACATTTAACACAGAATCCCATGAACGACTTATGTACCTTTGCCAATCTAAATAATGGCTGACATAATCTATCTCTATGTCTAGTTTGATAATTATGTCTATCTGACACCTTATCGAATATTTTTAAGTTTTTCCTAACATACATAATGTTTTCATAAATAAACTGACATGGCACGGTCATAATATTGATCTCTCTAAACTTTTCTCTAAGAGACTCACGACGCCTTAGATTGTAAATAGCTCTGATGGCACGCTTTTGCAAGACAAAGATAGACTCAATGTCAGCAGCCTGTCCCCACAACAAGATGCCATACGACATAATGCTATGAAAGTAGCTGAAGTACACCAGTCTTGCAGTGTCCACATCTGTTAGCTGTCGGATCTTCCAGACAGCAAATGCTGCAGAGCTCAACCGTCCTGCCAGAGATGTGATATGGGGCCCCCATTGTAGTTTGTCATCTATGGTTATACCCAGAAAAGTAGTTTGTTTTACAAATTCCAATTTATTACCGTTTAATAATATGTCACATTCGGTACTTTTAACATTTGGCAAACTGAATCGTATACATTTAGTCTTTTTGTCGTTTAGGACTAAATTATTAATTGTAAACCAATTATGAACCTTCGTTATAGCATTATTTACGTCGTCATAATTATCTGTCCGTCTATTTATTTTAAAAATCAACGATGTGTCATCAGCAAATAATACCATTCCCGGTTCACGTTGAAATAAATGAGGTAAATCATTTATGTACACTAAAAACAGGAAAGGACCTAATATTGAGCCCTGTGGTATGCCCATAGATATGCTAGTACCCTGGGAGTTCACTTTATTTACTTGTACTTTGAACTGCCTATCCTGCAGGTATGATTTTAATAAATTGAGAGATACCCCTCGAATGCCATAGTGTTCCAACTTCAGCAACAGTGTCGTGTGTTCAACGCAATCAAAAGCTTTAGACAGGTCACAAAAAATCCCAATAGCGTCGTTTGACTTTTCCCATGAGGCAAAAACATGCTTAAGTAGAGCTACACCGGCGTCAGTTGTGCATCGACCCTTGGTAAACCCATATTGTTGGTCATGAAAGATGGAATTTATGTTAAAGTGTCGTAGCATCTGAGAAAGCATTAGCTTTTCAAACACTTTACTAAGCACTGGTAAAATTGATACCGGCCTATAATTATTGGGATCATTGTCATCGCCAGATTTAAACAACGGAACTACCTTGCTAAGTTTCATCAAATTTGGAAAAACACCCTGATCTACACTTTTATTAAAAATTACAGCTAAGTAAGGCGCTATAGCTTCTATAAAAGACCTACACACCACAACAGACATTCCCCATAGATCCTCTGTAGACTTAACTTTTATGTCTTTAAACGCCTTTATTACTGATTGCGGGTCCGTGTACTGAAATCGGAAGCCAGAACGGCATTCTTTAACATTTCTTTTAAGAAGACTAATAGAAAGTGCCGGAGATGATTCTAAGTCTTTCGTAGTTTAATGGGGATATTCTTGAAAAAAAATTCGAATTCTTGGGCAACTTCTTGATTAGCATTAACTCGTCCATTATCCGTATTTAAATTAAATTCCGTGTTATGCAATTTATTTCTGCCTGTCTCGTTATTAATTACCTTCCACGTAGCTTTTGTTTTATTTTCAGCATTTTTAATCTTATTGCCAATATAAAGTGATTTAGCTTGCTTACAGACTGTTTTAAATATTTTTGCATATTTGGACACATGCTTGCTGAAGGCTTCACTAGTATCAAATGGTTTCATACCATATAGCTCAAATAACCTTTCCCTACTTCTACGAATACCTGGGGTAGCCCAGTCACAGAATACAAATTTACACTCAATAGTTTTTCTTTTTAAGGGGAATATTTTATCAAACTGGGTTTTAATCACGGACAGTAGATTGTCATAAATCTCACTTGGACCTTCATAATCATGTGATGGGCTGCATAATTTATGTTTCAAATTGTTATTTAATAACTCAACCCTTTTATTTGTGATTTGCCTAAACATTATTTCCTTTTTTGGCACCTTTGTGATGTTGTTAAGGTTCATTGTTAACCCACTGTGGTCTGATGGTAAGGTATTTATTATATCCTTATGTAAATAATTACAGTTACAAAATATATTATCTATGCATGTAGCCGAGGTGGATGTTACTCGGGTGGGCTCAAGGAAAACATTAGACAAATCAAAAGATTTAAAGAGACTTACTAAATTAACACAATTAGAATTGTTTTCTAAGAGATCAATTGTATTCTCCCCTCAAAAAAATAATAGTAGTAATAGTATATTATATTTTAGATGATGAAAATCTAATTTTTTCCATCGTTTGTCAGAAAGGGAAGTTCAATTGCACATACATATTTAATGTAACACGATTATATTGTCTACTTTACTATTTAAAATCATCAATAGTTGTAGATTGTTAAGGGCTAATTTTTCAATAGATCAGATAAATGTTATCTAAGGAATAAAATTGTTGCTGTCACTGTCTTATACAAATATTCTGACGCAACAGCATCACAATTATTCCCCTGATAACTTTTATCTGAACTATTGAAATCAGCCCTAAGTTAAGAATTCAGTTATGTCAAAAGAAACCCCAGAATAATTAATTTAAAAAAAAATAGATTATTTTCATTCATTTCACATGGCCAAAATAAAAAGAACAGAATAATTAAATAATACAAATCAACACCAAAAGCAAGCAAGACAAAACATTGGTCACAACACAAACTTTGACCTCAGTTCAACAACCCTACAATAACATGACAATCAGCTGTTATGTGCCTGCCATCATACACAATAATGTGCCCTTTATAAAAAGATTAAAAAATAAGGAATTCACGTGCATTTAATGCTAACCTTTAAGCAGAAAACCTGTGTACAATGAACTTTACTTTTGTTTTCTGCCGGCTTCGTTAGTCACTTAAAGTGCCAAGGTGCAACGGCCATATATTTTGTTTGACGCCCTGGCGAGAAGCGAGAAAGAGTGTCAGACTCTTACTGACTAAATACCATCTCTTCTTTCGAGTCTGGCCGCGGTACCATCTTTATCACACTTTGTCCTCAACCCCGACCGGCCATCGGCACTAGTGGGCCATGTAATCAGATATTTTGATGACATTCGTAAATAGCAATAAAATATTACAGACTCGCCGACCTGGTGAACTCTGTTCCGCATTAAAAAAAACAAATTCTGTCCAAAAGAACAAAATGAACCAAATCAGACGACCCGTTCTCGAGTTTTAGCAAGACAAACGAACAGCGTTATATTTTAACCTAACCCAGCGAACTCCATGCCGCCTCAAATATATGTTCTGACCTTTTAAACCTTCTCTGTGTATTTAGGAAGCAATGGGCCACATCTGTCCAGCCTTTTTGGAGTTTTAGCTAAACTAACGAACAGCAATTCATTTTCCTATACCATCCTATACACATATAAGAAAGAAGAATAAGAATATAGAATTTGCCTTTATTTCCTCGCCTCACCCAGACAAGAAAAGCTATAACGATTTTCCTCCATCAAAAAAAAACAAAAAACACTATCCAGTACAAAATTCATCGTGAACTATCGATTTGAAAAAAACCTATTTTTTCCATAAAACTGTGTGTCTGTGAGCAATGAACTTTATTCGGGCTTTTTCTTCATTGTAAAGATTGCTACAATACCATCAGCCAGATGCCATGAAGGGCAACATAAAGGTTGTCGTACCGGCCACCTTTTGTTCCGGGTTGTGGTAGGTCAAAGGGCACCGGAAGCAAAATTTCGATACAAGCGAAAAGCCACAATGGTTAGATCAAATGATTGAAGAGGACGCTTTATTTGTAAAATAGCATTAATTAAAGAATGGAATAAATTTAGTACCAATATTTCA